CAGCTGCATCCAATGGCATTAAAGAATGTATATGACGCCAGATATCCTGCATGCGCAGTGATGGGATAAATTTTCAACTTTAAAGACAAGGGAAAAAAAATACACATACTGATAGCCAGCACCACTGATTAACTACTATGATATCTAATTATCTGTTCTTGCTTGCATAAGAGCACACAGAGTAAACAATGTGTCTATCAAAATGCACGGGATGATGTTTCATTGAGCAATATCAGGTCAAAATCTCACAAGTGAGAGATCCTAGGTTAATATGGTTATTTGCATATTCATCAAGAAACAACGATACAGCATTAACAGGGGCATGTTTAGATATTGAGCAAAACCAACAGAATAGCCCCCTTCAGAATTTTATGTTGGCATACCTCAGGAAGGCATGGGATCGAATATCCCAATGTTTGCCCATCTTGAGAATTGCCATCAACCAAGTCCTTGAAAGGGTGAGTCCTTAATTTCGTCCACTGTAGCAACGGATCCATCTGCATGCCAACAAACACGGTTGTGAAAATTCAATATCAAATAAAATTTTAAAAATGCTATCCGTGTGGCATTATTGTCTAAACAATGAATCCTTAACGAACAGATAAAAATCATTTTTTTATGAGATGAAAGAAGAAAACAGCAAACGAATCAGATGATTGAGGCTTCTACTCCGGGCTAAGGTGGTTTGCTTACGCTCCTGCGTCTCGCTCTGAATCCCCACGCTACGAGTGGAAGACGACACGCAAGTACACCACCCTCCCCCGAGAAATCTCGCCGAGTTTCCGTTCTCCTGTGCTATCTTATCTGTGTATACTTTAGCTATCCATCATCGTAGTAGCCCCACCTCCCTCGCGCGCTAGATTTGGATTGGATGGTTGAATCAGAATCCGATTACACATCGGCAGGAGGGAGAGCAAATTAGGGAATAATAGGGACTCTCTGTCCCGATTGGAAACATATGATGGAATCCGATTAGGCACCGGCTGCGGCTGCTCCTACTCCGCGCCGCGGCCGATATCACCCCCAGCTGTTGCTCCGCCCCGTCGCCGGCTCCTCTGCAGCGGCAAGAAAGTGAAGCGATGGTACGGCGCTCGCCTGCAACAAGAAAGGGGCGGAACGGGACGGCGCTCGCCGTCGCCCTGCTCCTCTGTGACGGCGGCGGCTTTTGTCTGCGGTTTTTTTCTATTTGGAAAAGGTCCAAACTACTTCCTCCAAATTTGGTCATGCTCTTGATAACCCCTAAATTAACATTTAGTTCAATTTACTTTTCCCAACTATTTTATATTGATCTAGTTTATCCCTTAATAGATTTTTTTTTATTTCTCCACGTATAAGTTAAGTTTTAATATCAAGTTATGTGACGCGACAAGGTACGTCATAAGTTAGGTTAGACGAATACATCGTAGTTTTTTTGTCACTATTTTGATAGCTTAGGATATGTAATAATAAATTAACTTTAGAGATACAATATCGTACAAAACATAATGACGAAAAATTCATAATGTATTTTTCTAACTCAAAATATGACGTCATCTATCACCTACAAAATTTGAAACTAAAACATAATTTGTATATAGAGAGACAAAAAAAATTAAGGTGTAAACTGGACCAACTTAAATAGTTGGGGGAGTAAATTGAACCAAATATTAATTCAGAGGTTATCTGGACATATGTCAAACTTAGAGGGACTAATTTATATTTTTTTATATTTTATTAACAAATGTCGATTCCATTTCCAACATGAATCCCTCTAAAAGGAAAAAGTCTAATTTATAACTCTCAACTATCGTGGTCATCTAATTTTCCTCCCTAAAGTATAAAAGCAGTTTTTTTTACTTAAGCATGAGATGAAATAAACCTAACAAAAAGAGTCGTAAGCTATTGTATATCAACATAAACTGTATTTTTTTTTAAATATCAAACATGGACTTCTCTAATACCTAATTGTAGTCCACACAAAATAATATGTTGATGGATGGATTGGAGTTACTAGCGCTCGGATATTCGGACGCCCGCTTGACACCGCGCGCACGGTCCTTCATGTCCGTTTTGAGGGGTGATAAATGGACGGTAGACCCCGGGTAAATTATTGCCTCTACGATGTTCCAGTAGACCAGTACACACCTTCTCGTGTCATCAACTTGCATGAGCCTCATAGACCCATGGCAGTTCCCTTGCATCGCGCCAGTTCCCTTGCATCGTGCTGCTAGACACGACAGAAAGATATGTGACTACAACACATTGAAGTAGTTTTACAATGTCTTGATACGTCATACGTCATACGAAACATAAGCGAAAGGGCTAGTGCCTAGACGTCCGGACGGATGGCATGTCCGGAAGCCGCTCCCGCGCCTCCTCCGTCACGTGTGCGAAGGCAACTCCCGTGCCTCCTCTATCACACGCGCCCACGGGGAAAAGCTGCACCGCCAATGGCTCGCTCACCCACGCATGTACGGGGATCACCCGAGCCCGCTTCGTTTCATGTGCCCATATGCACGCAGCAGCACCAGCAAGCGGCGCAGTGACCCACAATGGCACGGTGACCCACGACGGTGCACTAGCACCACCAGTAGGCAACTGTGGCCGGCTGCTGTCCTCTAAGATCTACTTTGGAAAGATCCAAATGAAACACTTGCAACGTACGTTTGAAACAGATAAAACACTTGAAACATGTGTTGAAACATGCAAGTATAGCCATAGCAACATAGGCAACATCCAGATCTACTTTTACAACATTCAGATGAAACACTTGCAACATAAGTTTGAAACATCTTAAAACACTTGGAACATACGCTTGAAACATGCGTGTATAGCCATAGCAACATATGCAACAATCATATCAAACACTTGAAACATACGTCTAAAAAACCTGAAACACTTGAAACATGGGCTTACAACATGCGTATATTGTTATTGCAACATATGCAATATCACAGATCTACTTTTGCAACGTCTAGACGAAACACTTGAAACATAAAGTCTGAAACATCTGAAACACTTGAAACACGACGTCGTTGGCGGCCAAGGCCTACCTGTTGAGGATATGCGGTAGCCAGCAAGCTCGAGTGTGGGATGGGACGCGGCCTTGGTCGGGGCTTGGCCATCCGTTGCACGGCGCAGCGTAGGGCCCATGTGGTCGGGGCGAGGCCGGCTCAGCTGCCACATGCGTGAGGCTGGGGCGTGTGTTGCTGAAGCTCCTGTGAGATTATTTTGTCAATCATAGCCAATCGATGACGGATAGCACGAGGAAGGTGTGGACATCGTGGTGCAGAGCTCCAAGCTCGGATGAGAATGGGAAAGTAGAAGAAAGAAGAAATGCATAGTCATGTGGATGAGAAGGAGCCACGTCGTTAATAAAAAGAACGGGTGCAGACGTGTGGGCCTCCTATAGAGTCGTCCAACGATTTGTGCTGGCATCGAACACATGAACTGCAATCGAAACATAAGAGAAAAACTATTGTAGGACACAACCCAATCCATATCCAAATAGAACATCCGCGAAAATCAGAATTTTAAAAGAACATTCAGTACCTATAGTTCCTTCCTACGACACATAATTACAACTAACTCAAGTTCACTTCATAGACACTGATCCGACCCCAGCAGCTTTTGTTAACAATAAATATTCCTATCCAAAGTTCAGATACTCTTTCTGCAACGAAATCTACCCATATCCATCCATTGATGAAGTGATGTACGAATCAAAAACTAAGCATCGCATCGATCGTCTCTGAAGCACATGCATCGTCTTGTGGTCATTGCGCCATGCCGAACGACCCGTCCTTGATGAGACTGTTGCTTAGGGTCTTGAACCGCTCTCTCGAGTACTCTAAATTTTCTCTCTGAAGTATAAAACCACTTCTTTTTACCTATCTCACCTTCTAAAACCGTTTGTTTTTGCACCTCGATGATTTTGAGAGTGGTTTTCTGTGGTGCCACATTAAAGGGATAAATTGGACTAAGTCAAAAGTTACGAGAGGTAAATTGGACTAGAAATATTTTAAAACTATCCAAGGAATCATAAAAATAAATTTTAAAAAAAATATGCAAATATTTTTTCTTTGAAAATAATTCAATTAAAAATCCTAAAATTTGGTTTATTCTTAAAAATTCATAAAAAAAATTGTTTTACCCCGAAAAATTATGAAACTATTTCAATTTTTTTCTAAAATCATGCTCTATCTTATGGTGCCTAGCTTGAAACTGTTTGGATCTTTATGAACTCATTTCAATGCTTATTTGTAGTAGAAGCTCTGATTATCTATTATAATTAGTCGATGCTGATCATTTGACTGCGTAGAAGCACTAGCGGAGCGTCGTTAAGACTACGTCATGTGGCAAAGTGGGTGTTGGTCCCCTGCCCTAGGTAAGTGTACTCCCTCAGTCTCTTTGTGTATGTCGTTCTCACTTTCAAGAAATCAAATGTACTTTAATTTTGATCAAATATATAAAAATTATTAATATTTATAGTATATTGTTAGTATCATTATAGATTGTTGGATCTCTTTTCAGAATAAACTCATTTGGAAATACAAATGTTGGTAATACTTACTATAAACCTAGTCAAATTGAAAGTTTGACAAACACGCTTCCCATAGCGACAGATAAAAAGAGATAGAGGGAGTAGTTGTGTTAGTCCATGTGGCTGCATGCATCAAGCACCCTGCCACAATCCCAGTTCACACAACCCAATCCATATCCAAACGGAACATCAACGGCAAATAACATTTTCAGTACTTACTGTTCGTTCCTAGGACGTATAATTACAACCAACACAAGTTCACTTCATAGACACTGATTCGAAAGACTAGAGCCCCATCAGTTTTTGTTAATTGACAATAAATATTACTATCCAAAGTTCACAGACTTTCTAGAACGAATATACAAACAAGCTGAAGAAAGAAATATATCCATTCATCCATTGATGAAGTGATGTATGCATCAAAAACCAAGCATCTCATCGCATCGATCCTCTCTGAAGCACATGCATCGTATTGTGGTCATCGAGCCATGCCGAGCGACCCATCCTTGATGAGGCTGTTGCTCAGGGTCTTGAACCGCTCTCTCGAGTACTGCCGGGACGCCTTCCTCCAGTCCGTGCCGGCCTTCATCATCGCCACAAACTCGTCGAAGCTGATCCGCCCATCCTGCGACCATATAGTCCGAGCTCAGATTGCAATTGCATCGCAGGATCTGATCGAGCTGCCTGCAGGTGACAGACACCGAGACACGTACCTTGTTGGTGTCGACTTCTTGCAGGATGTTGTTGAGCGCGGCCTCGTCGGTGTGCCCGGCATCGTCGGCGAGCGCGTCGGCCAGCTCGGCGCGCTCGATGTACCCGCTGCTGTCCTTGTCGAAGAAGAGGAACGCCTTGCGGAGGTGGGCGTCGTTGGAGAGCCGCTGCAGGTGGATGGTGATCGCCACGAACTCGCCGTAGTCCAGGTACCCGTTGCCGTTCACGTCGGCCTGGAATTGATTTTTCAGTTCTGGACTTTATAAGGTTATAATGTTCTAGGCCTGTCTAATTGCACCATGAGATCAAGGAGAGTACTAATTAAGGATGATGCTTACGGCCTCCATGAGCAGCTCCATCTCGGGCTCGGCCAGCTTGGACCCCACCTTCCTGAGCCCGGCCTTGAGCTCCTCCACCGTCACCCTGCCGTCCTTGTCGGTGTCCATGAGCGCGAACATGTCCCGGATCACCTCCACCTCCTCCACGGACAGGTGCTCCGCGATCACCCGCATGGCCTTCTTCTTGAACTTGTTCATGGCGGAGAACTGCTGCAGGCGCGCCCGGACGACGTCGCCCAGCGGCACGTTGGGCGCCTTCAGCGCGTTCTGCAGCCACGGGTGCTCTGCCGCACCAACAAAGCATCAGCGTTCACGCGGGGACGAACAAGCAACAGGGAGGGACACGCACACGTCCGCGCGCACGGCGAGATCTTGGACAGCATGCATGAACAACGTACCGAGCACTTGCTGCGCGGTGGGTCTCTTCTTGGGGTCCATCTGCAGCATCTGGCGGACGAGGCTCTTGGCGCCCTCGGAGATCCGCGGCCACGGCTCCCGCTGCAGGTCCAGGTTGCCGCGGAGGATGGCGCGCGCCACGCCCTGCTCCGTCTCGGCCCAGAAGGGCGGCACGCCGCAGAGGAGGATGTACAGGATCACGCCGGCGCTCCAGATGTCCACCTCCGGCCCGTAGCTCCGCCGCAGCACCTCCGGCGCCATGTAGTACGGGCTGCCCACGATCTCCGTGAACCGCTCGCCTGTTGTTGCCATTGCATTGCATTGCATCCACAAAACTTAGTGATAAACGTCATGGATCACGGCGTGGTACCATGCATACATGATGCATGTACAGAACACGTACGGGTGTGATCACCGTGCACGAACGAACTAGTGTTTGTGTTTTACCTCATTATCTGGTGAAAATAGCGTTTTGCCCAAAAGCCAAAGAGTAGACTTTCTCGTCACTATTTTTTTGTTTTAGAAAAAATCTGATGACGCTGTCAACTTTCTGAATACACGAGCTGGATCCGTATCACTGTCGACTGTCGTGATCGTTAGCTAGCTGCAGCCGCTCGGACGCTTCCACACGGAAATAAACGTCAGGCACGGCAGATTTAAGACAAAATGAAACGGGATTTCTCGCAGTTTTGACAGGACCTGTTCCTCACTGCAGCGTCTTCCTCATGCACACATAATTTCGTGACTACAGTTTTCTGAAGCTTTCACAGGAAGTGTGGCAAAGGTAGGTGCAACAAAGTGTAGCGCTGTCATCATTAATGAAAAATTCCACGACCTAACAAGCGGTATCACACACTTTCACGTGTTTTATTTAAAAAAATTAAATGAGTATTAGCTCTTTGAAGACTGACAGAATTAAAGGCGCCCTTTTTTGCATATGTTTGGACAAGATTAAAAAAAATCATTTTCCTATACTGGAGAACATTCGCCAACCATCTAAGTATTTAATTTAACCCAAAAGGAACGAGCGAAAGAACCCAAGATAGCTTAAGATTATCGTAGAGGCCAAATTTGACAACCACACGGACGTAAAAGAAAAGGAAAATGTTGTATGTCCCTGAGAAATATGATGATCACTCCAGGGTATGTAGGGAACGGTCGCAGATGCCTGTATCGGATTGGGAGGTTACGGAGTTTGAGCTGTTGAGGCCCAACCGCGGTTCATTGACAGACGATGAAGGTGACAACGGTCAACCTCCATTGGCCAATGTGTCCCTGGCTGCACAGTTGGAAGCGCGGCTATGCGTCCTGCTTCAGACCCCACTAATCCGCAAGCCGAAGCTAAGGAGGTCTAAGATACCTTCAACGGTGATGTCGGTGCGTCGGAGTGGGAAGCTGACTGCTAAGTCCAAGGCCTTCAACCCGACTGTCCAGGCACAAAATGTGCTGATGCAAAAGCTAGGAGTTGTATACATGACGCAGCGTCCGGACCCTGAGGCTTTGGACACATTCAAGACCATCTTTGTTGATCCGTTGTCGGCCTCCAAATAGGAGGCCCTTCAGGCGCTATTCGGGACAAATTTGGATCCGGTGGCCATAGAGCTGGACCTCACTGGCTTGGAGGACGACGCTCTATAGCCGCTTAGTCCAGGGCCTGCTTTTGGTGTTTGCCACCGTGCTTGTTTCTCTTTATGGGCGATAAGTAGGTCTTTTGTAATCACAACCATGTGAACTTTGGGGTGTTTGGCTCGGTACTCACCGATAGCCAAGCTTTGTAATGTTAAACTCTACTTCTGCTTAATGAAAAATATGTTTCGGCGTAATCCAAAAAAAAAAAGATTTAAAAATAACCATTTTCCTATACTAGAGAACATTCGCCAACCATCTAAGTATCTAACCCAAAAGGAACGAGTGAAAGAACCCAAAATAGGTTAAGATTATCGTAGAGGCCAAAATTGACAACCACACAGACGAAAAAGAAAAGAAAATGCTCTCTGTCCCTGAGAAATATGATAATCACCCGGCCTAGAAGCTTAAAATTTTGACAAAAAAAAATCTAACAATTCGATCTTCAAGGATCGTTTGTGCTACTTGAATTAGGAGTGATGAATGATATATACTTTATGGAACTCAAGATGTCGAATAATAGAATGGAAAGATGGGACAAAATAAATAGGATTTAAAAAAAATAACAGGCGAATGCAAGGGGGAAAGAGGCACAAGTACACCACCAGCAAGACAGCAAGCAGGCTGACCTGGTTTGAAGAAGACGGAGAGTCCGAAATCGATGGCCTTGAGCTGTGCGTCGTCGCTCTTGCCCGCGTACAGGAAGTTCTCGGGCTTGAGGTCCCGGTGCATGACCCGTGCGCGTGGCACGCCCGCACCACCTCGGCCACGGTCCTGGCGGCGGCCGCCGCGGCGCGCTCCGTGTACCTCCCGCGCGCCACGATCCGGTCGAACAGCTCCCCGCCGTCGCAGAGCTCCATGACGAGGTGCACGGCGTCGGCGTCCTCGTAGGCGGCCCGCAGGCGCACGAGCGCCGGGTGGTCGGGCAGCGACGCCATGATGGCCACCTCCCGGCGCACGTCGGCGACGTCCACCGCCGTGCGCAGGCGCCGCTTCGGGATGGACTTGCACGCCAGGCGCTCCCGCGTGGCGCGGTCCGTGGCGAGCCGCGTGACGCCGAACTCGCCCCGCCCTAGCTCCCGCCCGAGGTGGTACTTGTCCGTCACGCGTAGCCGCGGGTGGTGCGGCACCACGCCGTCCAGCACGCGCGACGCCAACGCCGACGCCCCGCCGACGCCGCGGGAAGCGTGCGCCGGCGGCGGAGCCCGGTCGTACGGGTTGTTGGGCTTAGTAGCCGCCGCCTTGGGCCTCGCCTTCGGTCTGGGCTTGTTGGACCCCGGGCTCGGCTCCTGGCTGTTGCTGCCCTGCTGGCTGCTCGGAGGCGTCGCCGGCCTCTTGTGGCCACTTTGTGGATGTGGCGGCGCTTTGCTGGCTGTGGCGTCGGGTTCGGGCTGATCAGGGGACGTGGAGGTGGTGCCGCAGAAGCACACGTTGCCCATGGCGGCTAGCTAGCTAGCTAGTAGAAGCTCAAGGCTGCTCTCTCTCGAGCTTATATGTGTACCTGCGGCGGTTGCTGCGCTGCTTCTCTCTCGTCTACCGGAGTGGTTGTGCTTGTGCATGGATGGAGAAGGGAAATATCTCTCTTCCGAGCTCTGCGGGTGACTGTCTACATATGAAAAGAAAAGATTTGGTTGCTGTGGTGTCGATTGTCTGAACAGTTGAAGCGAGGCGACCTGAGTTATTGAGGTAGCAGCTAGGTAAGCTCGGGAGCGAGAAGTGGTTGCGGTCGCGGGAGGGAAGAAGTCCAGCTATCCAAAGTACGCAACGACGACAGGGACGAGCGAGGAAGGGCCAGGGAAGCAGCAGCAGCAGGCAGCAGCATATGCAGATGCAGCTTTCAATCATAAAAAAAAATGTCAATAGAATATGGAGATGGATGATCGATTGATCCGGAAAGGGCCGGGAGGCTTTGCTTCACGCGTACGTTGTTTGGAGGAGACGGACGAATCATGGCCGGGTCGCGAAAAGGCGCGGGGTACGGTTCGGCAGTGAAGCGAAGGAGCGCATACGCACGGCGCGGCGGCTTTCTGGGCTGCTGCGCGCGGCGGCCGCCTGGGGCTCTGGGCGCGGACACCATCACCGTGGCTGGGGGCGATCCAATGAGTTGGTCTGTGCCAGGGGAAGCCCTGACCTGCCACGACATCGTGTACGCCGCCCGCAGCAGCTTGGCCTGGCGCCTGCCGGGCAGGAGGGGAGGGGAGGGTGTTTGAATAGAAAACGACCCGGCGTTATGGCGCGAGAGTTGTGGAGGGAAACTGCCCGGGGTAGTGTGATGGTGTACATATGACAGCATGACTATGACATGGCAGTGCCATGTACTGTTCAAACTTCGGAAAACGCCGGTAATCAATGCTTCCCTTCTTATACACCACATGCTCGTGAGTCGTGACCGCGTCGTTCTGTTGCCATCAAGCGCAGGGACACGCACGGCGTCGCTCCAGTCTCCCGGCCGGACAGGTAGGTTATTCTGCCACCTGATCCTGAAGCAGCTAAAATTGACGGTGATGATTTAAAATCACTTTTTTTGGCAATCACCATCTATCTATCGATTTCATTTCAGTTTTTCTCCCCTGATCGCTGCACTACCAACCAACCGAAGAACGGATTAGGCACCGCAAGCTGATGGACATATATTCATTCATTTCATATAAGAAGCAGCACTAATTATACGAGCACTCTTTGTTAGGAGCACATACTATGCTTGTTCGTTCAAGGACCACAAGGCGGGCGTTGCGTTGGTAGCTGGACTAATGATGTCGGCTGCGAAAGCAAAGACTACACAGAGCACCGTGCGAGCTGCGACCCTTTCCGCTATGGTCCTCTTCAAGGAAAGGCGACCGCGCCTTACATACAACTCAACTATTATAGGCCAGCGCCGTCGAGCCGTCGAGATTACACAGCGGGAGGGGCAACCGGGCAAAGCGAGCACCGAGCAGCGCCCGTGCCCCGTGGTCAGTCAAACAAGAGCACAAAAGGGATGGGAGACAACATGATAGCGGCATGAAGCGACGTGCAGCGGCTAATCATGATTCTGCGCCCTGCGATGCCAAAGCGAGCCAGACAAAATTACGTTACCGTGTCCTCTTTTTCTTACAGCAACAAAGTAGCCTTTCGTGCATCATCATCAAACCAAAGGGCTAGTAAAACAAGGTTGTTTTACTCAAGAAGTGTAGTATAGAATCAGCTAAGGGATGGGTGGGTAAGAAATGGTCAGGTGAGAGAGCTGGAATAATCAACCACGTTCCTGTCCGGTTGATCCTGCTGCTACGTCTTCTCTTCTGAGAAGACAAGGAACTTGTGGTTTTTTCCTTTTGGCTTCTCTAGGTCAGCTGTCTGATCAAATCCTACCAAAACGCTAGGCAGGAGTGATACATTGACACGACCACGCGCAAGCCAAAGAAAAATAATACAATTGCTTCGTGTCGCCGTCTTTGAAAACATACAAGCCTCAGCTCGACCTACTACGAGCCGTTGCAGGTGACCTGGGCACTAGAGTCATATAAAAAGTTAAAAACAGAACAACTCACCGGACTGCCACTGTTTAAACAAAGAGGACAAACAAGGCGTGCAAGCAATGGACAAGCTAGTGCTACATCAATAGGACAAAGCGGACAGATTAGGATGGAGCCAACAATGCGACAATCTCTATTGGAGCCATCAAGCATCCGTCTACCTTCTTACATCGCTTAATAACCAGCCAGAGGTTCGGTTTGGTATAAGCGTTTGCAACAAAAGACTTCTAGGCCAAGCAACGGGTCATCAATCACCTTTAAATGCTGCGAAGATCCGATAGAACACAGCAACCTGATGTAACGACAAAATCTGGTGACAACATCGACACCTCCACTCCTCCAGCACAGAGTATAATATAATGAAGAAATAAGGGCATATTAACACATAAAAGACGCAACTTAGGAGAACGAATATGACCTGAAGCTACTATCCCAGAGTTTTTCCACATTACCGACCGACCATGTGCAGTCACTCGAGTAGCAAAAAGAACTCACAGATGGGGCCAACGGTGGCGTAATAACAGGCTAAGTTAGTTCTATAATAACAAAATGGCTCCCCTCCCTCGCTCCACATCCTCAGACAAAACAGTCAGCGAGCTAGGCGTTTGCACCCAGCTCAATCCTCCCAGGATGCCCATGGCCGCCTCCCTGTGCACCTCCACCATGGTTGTTGTAGTAAGAGTTGCCACCGCCCGAGCGACCGCCCCGGCCTCTGTTGTTGTAGTTCCTCGGCTGGTAGTATCCAGATTCATAGTAGTACCCACCGCCTCCGCCACGGCCGTTCTGGTATCCACCACCCCCACGGCCATTCTGGTATCCACCGCCTCGGCCACCACGCCCTCCACGGCCATTAGGATAGCCCCTCCTGCCGCCGCCACGACCACCACCACCACGCTGGTTCTGGTAAGACCGCCGCTGGGTGAATTGTTGGTCTTTTTGTTCCTGATCCTCCACATCAGCATCAAATGTCTCCTGCTCTGCCTCAGCTGAAGGAACTTCATCAGTTGGATTCACCAGGCCTTCATCCTCCTGAAACAACATAGTTAGTACAAAGAGGAAACATTCAAACCAGAGAGAGTTCACCATCACATCATTTATCATAAAAGCAGTACCACGTGTTCAACGTCAACAACAGGAGCCTGATGATCACTGTAGATTTCAGTAGCCTGAGAATCTTCCTTCTCATCCTGTTAATGAACACATACATCAGTAAAAAAAATAAAGATGAAATCCAGAAAACAACATAGTAAAACTTTACAATGTACATGACGAGGTGCAAGTATTTTTTTTATCATCTAAAGGGCTAACCAGTGGAAAAGTGAGAAAATATCCGGTAAAAAATGGAAAAAAGTGTGTTGTTAGCAAAGATGCATGGACACAAGTAAAAAAGATTATAAATCCTTAACAAATATAAAGGCAGAGCTAATTAGAGAACACATTTTCCCTCAAACACAAAGACAACACAATCTAAAATAGCATAAAACAAGAAATAAAAACTCATTTTGTTTGTTACCAGCCCCTACTCGAGCACAAACCCATGCGTTCATGATTAAGAGACAGGCAAATCTACAGTACAGAAAACAGACACCAATCTTTCATGGACAAACAATCAGGCAAAAAGACCTAACTGAAACAAGACATCGACTTAAATAATCTTCGCTTTTCATTATGTATATCTAAAGAGAAATAAGAATGTTCACTTTATAAAAAAAAAAAAAGGATAAGGTACAAACATCACAATAAATATCTTAGCATCACAAAAGAATATGCACAATATCAAGGAAGATAAGACAGATTCCACTTTTTATATAGTTTACATTTTATACACATACGAGACTGGTTTAGTTTCTAAAATGATCGATCTTTGTAATGTGAGGATTAAGGTACCATTGCTATACAACCCTATATGATACTCGTTCAAGCAAAAACCAAAAAAACTTTTAAGTTAGCATGAACAAATAACAAACATCACAAGTATCTAAGACCAACCTTTTATGAAGGTCATTCAAGCAATAAATAAATAAATAACGAATAAATTAGCATGAACAATAACCAACACCACTGAACACTGATGTTTCTTTGTTAAAAAAACACTCCTGTTCTCTCATTGCACAGATATTCTCCAAATAATACTCTAGAGTAACTGTTAAAATATTGAGAGACAGAGGGAGCATAACTACAGTAACAATCCAGATGGCAAATTACAAGCTATTTTTTCCCCTGTTTGTAGTGACTTCACCAATGTCATAACAAGCTCGATATGAGCGTATTCTAGCATGTATAGAATAATAAGGATGAATTTAAACTCTTTTCACTTTGGTTATTGCTTTTTTCTCGGACGACGTGGTAGAGCTGCGGGTCATTTCATTAATATAGGACTTTGGTTATTGTTTGATGCATGTCCCAGATAGCAACTAAAGAACATTCCTACATCCTCAAACAGATACATTCCACTAATCACTAAATACAAAGAATTAACTCATGAGGTATTGAGTACTTACAAACATTGTTCATCTAAATTGTCGTTTCAACGCCAAATGGTGGCATGCCGTTTTCATTTAATCATCCGTTTGCCCCGTTTAATTGGTTGTTTAGCTCGCTAAAATAGCCATTTTACACAAATAATGGTTAAATGGTAGGTCACCAACTGTTTAACATTTAGCATTGAGGTAAACAGACTACAAATGAATTTAGTGCTACAAATTTTCCAGCCCCATGGTTCTTAGGGTGTCACCTATCTAGGTCGTTACAAGGGTATACTTTAGCCTTGTTACGTAGCCATAGGATAACCTTGTCCGGTCCATCAGGGCCAAATTTGTCTAGCTCAGTTTCAATCCTACTTAAGTATCTGGTATACTGAACACCACAAAAATTCTAGCTGCCTTTCACCCTATCCACTCTGACTACAATTTATAAGCTAAGTTTAA